CATGCAGATTTGTGGTTAAAGAATGGTGATGTTCATTGTTGCATAGAGTACATGTTGAGTTTGTGGCAACATAATAAATACGTTTGCCACCTGAATGTTCTGGTGGCTAATTTTAGACTTCAATCTGAGTCAGAGGCAATGAAATTGTTACGGTTTGCTGGTTTAGTTTTCATTTTCATCGCAACGTTTCAGTTTGTGAACATACATTATTTTGGTGGTGCTATATTCTCTTTATCTTCTCAAGATAAGTTTCCGGTGGTATCGATAAATGGAAGCATAGAACTCGTCGAGCCGTTGTTTGATCCTGAAAGATTGAATGCTAGTAGTTTGAGATCCGTTGAGGTAGCGAAAGGGGAAGGAACCGGTTTAGAAGATGACAATTTAATTGGCTCTGATGATAAGAATGACACTATACAATTACATGATAGTTTCATAGAGGATGCAAAAGATAAGGAAACTGCTGATTTGCTTATAGGAACAAGGAGCAGCTCGAACGAGAGTAACGAGAAAACAGTAGAAGATGCTGATGTCGTTTATGAAAATAGTAGGAAAGTGGAGACTCTAGACACTAAATCTGATACTTCTGTTGAGAATATTTCCCCAGAGGTGAAAAGGCTAATGAAGGTTTCGAATTCTGGGGTTGTTTCCATCACTGAGATGATGAATTTACTGCATCAGAGCCACACTTCTCATGTCTCACCGGTATGTGATTTTTAGTCTCTGATTAGGCAAGCAGTGTTCTTGTTTCTAATCCTACTACGCCTTTGTATCGTATCATTAACGTGTGCTTGTCTATTCCAGAAAATAAAGCGGTCTTCCGCAGTTGATCAAGAGCTGTTGTATGCAAGAGCCCAAATTAAAAACGCACCGATGGTGGAAAACGACCCTTTACTGCATGGTCCTTTGTTTTGGAATCTGTCCATGTTCAAAAGGTAAGTTAATGTATGTAATAGTTTTATGCATTTCAATTCAATGTATGGTAAATTAGTGTTATTCTATCTAGGCATAGCTTTGGTTCTGCTCTTTCAACTATATTAGGTAACATATATCACTAATTACGCAATCCTTCTAGGAAAGATAGACCATGATCACAAATACTCCACTTTTTCGTATTCGAAATTTACTTCATTAGAGAAGCTACAGTATTCGTTAGTGTTTCAGTTGTCTTTTCTTTGGATCTCTGATCTCTCGTTTAGTATTTTTGGTCGCTAACGTCTTTGTACTCCTCCATCATGATATCCTCTATACATGTTTTTGTTTGGCTAAATTGCTATGAGTTCTGTCTAGCTTGGTTTTCATGTCTCTTCATCTATATTTTCACATGCAGGAGCTATGAGCTAATGGAGAAAAAGCTCAAGGTATATGTCTACCGGGAAGGCAAAAGACCCTTGTTGCATAAACCAGTGCTGAAAGGAATATACGCTTCTGAAGGATGGTTCATGAAACAGCTCAAGTCGAGCAAAACATTTGTGACTAAAAACCCACGTAAAGCTCACTTATTTTATCTTCCATTCAGCTCCAAAATGTTGGAAGAAACTCTGTATGTCCCGGGTTCTCACAGCGATAAGAATCTAATTGAGTTTTTGAAGAACTACTTGGACTTGATTTCCTCGAAATATAATTTCTGGAATAAAACTGGAGGATCTGATCATTTTCTGGTTGCTTGTCACGACTGGGTATTCTTTTTTATTTTATGTTAGCTACTATTTCACCGTTTTGCGATTTCTCGGTCTAACCCATTTGAGTCGCTTATTTTTCGTTTGTGATCTATGCTTTCAGGCTCCGTCCGAGACAAGGCAATACATGGCCAAGTGCATCAGAGCATTATGCAATTCTGATGTGTCAGAAGGTTTTGTGTTTGGTAAAGATGTAGCTCTTCCTGAGACAACTATTCTTGTTCCCAGGAGACCGCTTCGGGCACTAGGAGGTAAACCCTCTTCACAAAGGAAAATACTTGCCTTCTTTGCAGGCGGAATGCATGGTTACCTTAGACCTCTCTTATTACAAAACTGGGGAGGTAACAGAGATCCAGACATGAAAATATTCAGGGAAATACCAAAATCAAGAGGAAAAAAGAGTTACATGGAGTACATGAAGAGCAGCAAGTATTGCATTTGCCCAAAAGGGCATGAAGTCAATAGCCCCCGGGTCGTGGAGGCAATGTTCTACGAGTGTGTCCCGGTTATCATATCCGATAACTTTGTGCCTCCCTTCTTCGAAGTCCTGAATTGGGAGTCCTTTGCGGTATTTGTGTTGGAGAAAGATATTCCTGATTTGAAGAACATACTAATGTCTATAACTGAAGAAAGGTATAGAGAGATGCAGATGAGAGTCAAGATGGTGCAGAAGCATTTCCTTTGGCATTCTAAACCAGAGAGATTTGACATATTTCATATGATACTTCACTCTATTTGGTACAACAGAGCGTTTCAAACTTGAAACCATAGATTAGGTTTGGAACTGTAGAACATGTAATTAGCGTAGATTCATTCGCCGGTTGCAATACTCGTAAGCAATACTCGTAATTCTCTTGCAGACCGAGTAAGTTCACTCAGATCTTACGCAAACGCTTTGCCTAAACACCTTTTAGCTCGTCACCAATCACTTCAAAGTTTTCACAATAAAACGTTACATAAATTTTCACTCAGATCAAAGGACAACAAAACCTTAATTATGTTTTCGAAATCGACCAAGCAACAGACATAGTAGCACAACTAATATATATGCTGATGAAAAAAGAAGCGTAACTACAAAAATAACTATATTTTTTAATTAAAAAAAAAATCATTAATGTTTAATTAACCCTAGCAAGTACAATTTTGTCTTTTAACCTAAGTCTTAAAGTTCAAAGACTTAAAACCCAAAGGCCAAAAGCCCTAAAACTCATCAAACTATCAAAGTAAACTCATCGTTTCCTAATAAACCCTAAACCTAGAAGTGTCTCATTCCTCTCTATATAAAGAGGAGACTTATTTCATCTCTATACAAAGAGGAGTCTTGAGATAAAGAAAAGGCAAAGGTGAGACGACAACGAATCCCTAGTGGAAGAAGGTAAATCTAACTAGATTCGGTGGAAAATAGAAATCGATACTCAAAACATATCGGATTGAGCTCAAATTCGGTGAGTAGATCTCTAACCTTAATATCTACTTGTTTGCATTATATCTTCCTAATTCCATCATCCGTTTGAAATTTATCAGCGTTTTCTCGAGGCTGATCTTCGCAGAAACAGGTCTGACTAATTGGGTTGTTTGATTGGGAAAAAGAGCTCGGATTGAGCCAATTTTTTGCATAAACCTTTAGAACTCGTGGATCTAAGTCTCTGTTCAAGGAGAACCGACTTGAAGCTTTGGAGAATAGGGAAACGTGCTGTTGAAGTTGATGCAGTAAATCTGTCCAAAAAGGAGGAAGAGACAAAACCCTAGCCACCAAGTTTACATCTCTTGCAAGGTAAATTCTAAAATCCCTAGATCTAAAAAACCCTAGATCTAGAAAAGTAAACCCTATACTCTACCTTCCATAAGAAGAAACTAGATGTTTCAAAAAAGGAAAATCCTAAAAAAAAAACAAAGGAAACCCTAGTTACTGAATTGTTAGTGAATTCAGTAAAAAAAAAGGAAACCCTAATCTTTTTCCGGGTGATTGTCGGATCTTGCAAGCATTAGAGCTCGTTTCCACTGAGTAACCTAGTTACTCACCGGTCTTACCCTTAAGGTTAAGGGTAGCTTTGGCATATAGTGTAAGTCAAACTACTCAATGTGATTATATCGGATTGAGGTGTTTTAGAAAATTTTGATGGGTTCTCTTTTATTTTAAGGTGTCTCATATTTTGCGCACATTATGTTTATAGGGAAGATGATGCGAAGAACTTGCCCTTATAATATGGGACAAAAGGTCCATAATTATAAAGAAGTTGTAGTTGTTGTAATCCAAAGTGAGAAAGGGCGGAATTTGATTGGTCAAAGAAATAGGATTGGTTGTGATTATGTAAGTGCGACAAAACAGTCTGATGGATCGAGGAAGTGAGGTTCATAGTTATGCTCCAACGAATGCAGGCACAAGTGAGACAAGGCATAATCTATTGGGTTTTGAAGATATTAGATGTGATCAGACTTGTCGGAAGCCTAAAGAAAATGTATCGGTTAAGAAGAAATTGAAGGGTGGACGATTTGCTTCAGCTAAGATGAAGTTTTGTAAGTAAAGTTCAACCATTAGGTTTAGAGGAGGAATCTATCAAATTAATTGTTTCCCAGAAAATACAGCACTCAGAGTCATATTCATCCCAGAGGAAGTATTTGCATGTGCAAAAACAAAGAAACCTACCAAAGAAGTTGAGTAAGGTAGATGCACTACGAGCAAAGACTCATAGACCAATTCAACACCGAGAAAAAGCACAGATGAATCAGCATGGACTCATCCCAATAATGCAAAAAAAACGACTTCTTAATGTGCTTCCCCCTTGTGAGAAGGTTCGCAAGGTATTCCATCTTTTTAGAATGATCTTGGAAGAGCTAGAACGTGACAAGGCAGCACACTTTGCCACGAATAAGACATATCTTGATGCACAAGCTATTATTATAAGAGAGGGGAAACAAGTTAATGGTGAAAAGATGGTTGGAATAGTCCCTGGAGTTGAAGTTGGGAATGAATTTCAATTCAAAGTAGAGCTCAACATAATCGGTCTCCATTTCTACTTATCAGGTGGAATCGACTTCATGAACATAGAAGGCTTGGACCTAGCTACAAGCGTTGTAGCATCAGAAGGTACTGGGTACAACGACATATTTGATTCTAATGTGGTAATTTATTGTGGTGAAGGAATGTGCTTGAAGAGCAAGAATCCCAAAGTAATAGAAGATCAGAAGATGACAAAGGGTAATCTGTCTTTAGTTAATAGCATGATAACAAAATCTCCGGTGAGAGTGATCAGTGGCAGGAAGAGGATGAATCAAAAAAGAAAACAATACGTTTATGAAGGATTGTATTTGGTTAAGCGATATTGGGAAGAGCAAGGGCCGCTAGGAAATAATGTCTTCAAGTTTAAGCTTCAAAGACTTCCTGGTCAAGCTTCTATTCATTGAATATTACACTGATCATGAAACCTTTTATTTATTTTTTCTTGGAGAGTAGTATTAGTGTATGTTGGGAACTTATAGTTGTGGTTTATGTTTACTTTAAGCTTTAAAAACTTCATGGTCAAGCTTCTATTCATTGAAAGAGTAGTGTAATATTACACTAATCATGAAACCTTTAATTTTTTCTTGGACAATAGTATTACTTTATTTTATTTTATGTTTGAGAAAAGTATTAGTTTATGTTGGGAACTTTATTTGTGGTTTTTTTTTTCTGAAAATTTATTAATTGAGAAATTAAACATTCAGGTTCATCTCCGATGCCATCGAAAGGGCATGGAGATTGTTTTGCCAGAGAATCCGCCACTAAATTGGTTTCTCTCGGAATAAAGATAAAAGCAACATCAAAAATTTGAGAGGAAAGTTTGTAGATATCGTGAAGAATCCCAAAGATTTTTGATCGGTTTTGTCCAAGGTTTAAAACTCGGATTATTTCGTGTGCATCGGATGCGATGCAGATGGTTTCCAATCCCAGTTCGAGGGCATGATTGAGGACAAAGCGGATTGTAAGGGTTTCCGCCATCAAGGGAGATTTCACAAAATCCATAGCTTTTGATCCCTGTCCCACAAAGATCTTGCGATTCGACTCGATTCTCCAACCCATGCCTGCGGCTAGTCGATCTTCCCTCTATGCTCCGTCTGTGAAACATCTGTTTATTTGTGGTTTATGTTTACAAAAGTTGGGGTACTCCGTAATCACAAGTAGTACATATTTATTTAGTTTAGGAGTAGGAAAAAAAACCGAATCAAATGGATCGAATTTTATTAATTCACTAGACGAAAGACCCGTATATATGCGGGTTTGTGATTTAATATTTTATAAATCTATAGCAAATAAATATTTAATTGTGGTGAATAAAATTAGATTATCCGTTAACATAAATAAAATCAAAGTAAAAATGTTACTGCAAAACCATTGATCAAGAAGAATATCA